TTCATTAGTTAACATAAACTGCCAATGAAAAATTCTTCTGAACATTCATTAATCTTAGGTAATTACAATATTTAATAACAGCTTGTTAAAATCGAAAATTGCAACTGTGTTATTAATGAGCTAACAAGAACTAAGACTTGTATTTTTTTAAACAAAGATTAATAACTTCTGTAGCAAATGTAGCTATTGCTCATTATGAATGTTAATGCATTAACTAAGGTTAACTAATGAGGTCTTATTGTAAAGTGATACCTATTGGTCTTTATAGCTCTTTTGCACTTTAATCTGTGTAAAACTTTTAACTTTATACATTTTTCTGTATTGCTTTATTGCATTTAAATGTTCAGTTATTTTTGTTATAAGAAAAAAGTTATTAAACCTGTTATACTGTATTATGACAGCACTTTTTTAAAACGAAATTTCAATATCGTGATAATACCGCATACCGTGATAAAAGCATTAGCAATTAATCGCAACATGAAAAATTGATACCGGCATATCCCTAGTCAGCTGTCTTAACTATGGCTTGTGTACTGCACACATACCAGCTTCATCACTGTGTCTGTCACACAACTCTGTTCCCCTTTCGGGCTCTGTCTTTACATTTATTTTGAAAGATGAAGCTCGCGATTATGGTAAGGGGCGTTACATTTCCGACGAGTGCTTGCGGTGTTCGGCCAATCACAATGCACTGGGTCAGCTGGCCAATCAGAGCAGACTGCGCTTGTCGGAAGGAGGGACTTTGAAGAAAACGAAGCGTTTGAGAGAGGCGGGGCATAGAGGACCTACAATAATGTACAGTATTTGAAAAATAATGTGTTTTTTGAACATTAAAGCATGTCAACGTATTCTGTTACACCAAATACACAAAATAATGATCTTTAAAAAAGCATCATATGACCCCTTTAATATAGTGTCATTAGTCATTATTTAATAATTAATCATGCAACTGATATTGAGTAGGACTGATTACAGAGAGCTCTCTCCGGATGTTGGCATGTACATTTATACGATCATATGTTAATGAATTAACATCAGCAATTCAAGGGTTTTGGAACAAGACTTTTTTTTTTTTTTTTTGCAGCTTATAGTCGCAAAAGAATTTTCTTTTTGAACTGAGCAGGAACCTTTCAGTTCAGTTTTCTGTAGTCTCTTTTATCTCTAAGTATCAAGGAAATTTCAGTTTTTCATAATATCATCCACCGTTTTAAAGTTGCACCAGTCTGTTCCCAAAATTTCAGAACAGTATCATCCAAAATCAAGGAACATAAGCAGTTCTGCACTGAAATCTGTACACATACTGGGGTAGAGAGGATGGGTGCAGAGGAGACAGGAAAGCTGTGGCAGACACGCATTTCTCATAAGGACACGGTGTCAGAGTTTGAAAGGTTCACGCGTCGTGCTCTGCAAATGGAGAACTCCATTAGCTGAAATATGTGCCTGTGCTTTTACATAAGATTTTAGCACTAACCTAACAGGTCTGTGGGGATAATTACACAGCAAAATAACATACATCCAACAACAGCAAATCGTGAAAGGTGAAAGACATGCAGAGAAGACAGAAAAAAAAGTGAGAAGGGTGATTAATGCACTTTTACATACTTGACACCTACAAAATATTCTAATGCTGACAAAACAAAACACACCAGTGACAGCGCTGAACTTGACAAGTTCGTGTACGCTTTGAGATTATTGGCGAACATAAGGAATAATGAGAATTAAAATCCTTCCTTATGATAATGTCACAAGTAGGGGATTTAATTCTAGTTTCTGTTCTCAAATCTTTGCACATTCAGTAATTACAAGGAAATTGAGCCCTCATAGTGAGCTGAAATCCACTGTTTGACCCTCAGTTAACAGTAAAACCCACTGCTTTACCACAATATATACTGTTTGGAATGACTTTTTTATTATTTAATGTTTTTCAAAGAAGTCTCTTATGCTCACCAAGGCTGCATTTATCTGAGAAAATACAGTAAAAACATAAAAATAACTTTTTTTGTTTTTTTTGTTTTCATATTTTAAAATCTAAATGATTTCTGTGATGGAAAAGCTGAATTTTCAGCAGTCATTTCTCCAGTCTTCAGTGTCACAAGATTCTTCAGAAATTATTCTAACATGTGCTGCCCAAGAAACATTTATTATTATTATCATCATCTTCAATGTTGAAAACAGTTTTTGCTGCTTAATATTTTTGTTGAAACCATGATACACATAGTTTGGGGTAAGATAAAATAAATAAATAAAATACTTTAATTCAGCAAGAATGCATTAAAGACATTGGAGACAAAATATTTATATTGAAAAAATGTCCATTTGAACTTTGCATTAATTAAAAAATCCTGAAAAAAATGGATCAGAGATTCCACAAAAAAAAAAAGTCAGCATTTAAAAATAAAAAGAACCATTGTTAATAATTAAGCACCAATAATAATTGAGTACCAAATCAGCAAAATGATTTCTACAGCAAAATGATTTCTAAAGGATCATGTGACACTAAAGACTGGAGTAATGGCTGCTAAAAAAAAAAATCAGTTTTGCCATCACAGGAATACATCACATTTTAAAATATATTCGAATAGAAAACGGTTATTTTTATTTTGTGTGCAAATG